GGTTGAACATAATTTCCATTCAGTTTTGAGGCAGCATTCCACTGCCTCCTAGCTTCCTTTATGTTTTAGAAAAACACATTCCCATTCTTTTTCCAAATCCCTAAAAAAATTAAAAATTTTCAATTACAGTTGACATACAAAATTATATTGGTTTCAGATGTACAACATAGTGATTAGACATTTATATAACTTATGAAGTGATCACCCCGATAAATCTAGTACCCGACACCATACACAGTTATTACAATATTAAAAATCTTGTGTATGTGACCTATTTTCCCCTAGATGCTTTTATAATTTGATTTCTAAATTTCACCATGATGTACTTTTGCTCTGGATCTTTTGTTCTGGGCCATCAATAAACTCCTTCAATGTGGAAATCCATGTCTTTAATTCTTGAAAACTTTTTTTTTTTGCATTATTTTCTCAGTACTCTTTCTTTCAAACTTATCTCTGAATCCACATTTGGATTTGAGTTTAGGTGTGGAGCACATGCTTTCTTATGTCTCTGTGCCTTTGCACATGTTCTTCCTTCTGCCTAGGATGAATTTCCTCTGCCACTCCTCTTATCCTAGCAAACCCTGACTTAACCTTCAAAACCAACTTCCAACATCAGTTTTTCCATGATGATCCCCTTACTGACCATAGGCTGAATGAGACAGTCTCTCCTCTATGCTCACAAGGTCTTATGTGGCACCTCTAATGCCAACTATAATCTGTTTACTCATCTGCCTCCCCCACTGATCATAAACTCCTTGAGAGCAGGACACTGTTCATCCATTTCTGTTTCCTCAGTGCCTAACATTGTATAATGCTGTGAATAAATGAATGAATTTAACAAGCGGAGAAAGGTGAACATTTTCTCCTGCTACCTGTTAAGCATTATGCAAGACAGGTCCCATGAGATACACCTTCATTTAATCCTTACAGCAAACCTCAGATGGTCATTGTTTAATCAACAAATATTACCTGAGCCCCTATTATATGCCAGGTTTGATACTGGCCAAAGGATGAAAAATACAAACTCTCGTTTCTCCAGAAATTCACCATACAGTAGGGAAGACTTTTTTCCTTATACAATTTTTAAAACTTGACATTTAATTCACATACCATAAAATTCACCCATTTAAAATGTACACTTCAGTGGTTTTTAGTATATTCACAGTCATGCAACCATCACCATTAGACAAGATACTTTTTATCTGTGTGAATGAGGTGCAATGTGTATCCTGCGGTCAAGTCAGAGGAGGAGGCTGAAGTTTCTTGGGGGAAGAAATGCATTCCAGGGGAACAGAACAGTGTGTGCAAAGGGACAGAGATCTGAGATGGCCCAGAATTTGGAAAATATGAAAAGTAGGGGAGTCAGAGTTTACGGTGAAGAAGTAGGTTGGGCTATTTTACAGATGAGGAACCTGAAGGCTCAGAGAGGTGAAATTAACTAAGGTCAGCCAATTTCTCTTCTGCCAACTCAAGAAAAGGTGTCTAAAGGAGGTTACCCTACCACTGAATCATTCTCAAAGAGTAGGCAGGTGCTGATACCACCAAATACTGTTTTTCCTTCAACCTTCCAGCAAATAGGGCTTCGTTTTCCCTCCCAACTCCTTTCATTACCTAGAAAATTGGCCATGCTGATGACCATCATTAATGGAACAAAAACATTTCCACAGTGGTTTTGTAGATTCAAAAGGTTAAGGTCACCACAGTGATGTTATCAGAAGGTGCTCTTTCCATGGACAGAAATACGTGTATTTTGGTTATCAAGTCCAAGATGAAACCTTAATATTTCATGGGCTCTTTGTGAGGCTAACATGACCATGAAGAAATTCTTCTCCTTTCCTAGGCCTGTTTTCCTACCTGCAAAGTGACACTAAGAAATCTTTCCCCAGCTGCCTTACTGCCATCCAGCCCAAAGGAATCCCTGGGAAACCATGAGGATCTGTACTGTCTTTGAAATTCTTGAGGAAAAGGTTAATACATGCTTTAAAAATTAATATGCCTACTATAAGAATCTCTCCAAAATCTGACCTCAGTTAAACATTCACAAAAACTTGGCTTATTAGGCTTACATTCAGTTCAGATCAATCTCCATTTCATTTCTGAAATGGAGGGATCAGTTAGGGGAACTCAGGAGAAACCATGCAGAAAATAAAGTTTTGTCAGGCAGGCGCAATGACCTTTGGATTTCAGTTTCACATTTGGAGGCTGTCCCCTTGCTGCCCCCTACCCTCGTCTCTATCATGAGAAAGAGCAACTCTGCATTCATTCTCAGAGAAGGAACTGCGGATGCCACACATCAGGGACATAGCAGAAATGTGTTCTCCATCACCCTTACCATTCAAACCCTTCTGCAGCACAACTGTTTACAAATCGCCAGCAGGTCAAAAGACACAAATTACAGCAAAGAGCAGTTATTTCTCAGAAAAAAACTTCGAAAGTGACCTGGTGAAACAGGGTAGAAGAGTTCATCAGAAGCCACCTCTGCCAAGAATCCTTGGATGATTGCTGTCCACTAGAGAATCCATGCTAAAATGTTTGTGGTTTCGAATGGACATGTCTGAAAACATTCGACAATGAAAAAAGTTTTACTGCCCTTTCAGAGGAGAATGAGACCAATTATCCCTGACACTCTTTTTTAGAACACGTAACCCTGAATTACTGGAAATAAAATAAGCAAACATGCTGACCTATAATATGAAGGTGACCATACCAATTAGGGCATTTGTATAAATAATCTGACAATAGTTACCTCACAGTCTGCTGAAATTTATGCAAACGTTTGTGATTCTCCACTACACTTTAGTAGGGAAGCATCCATGCCTAGTTTATCTATTAGTTTGGGGAATAATGACAAAGTTCATTCCCAACTCCAGAAGCAGTAAAATCCACTTCCTTTTCTAGAGAAAGGAAATACGTGAATATTTGAGACCAAAGCCAGAATTCAAGCAACTGCAAATATCTAGGTGAGAACACATTATTTTCCCATGTGGATAAGTAATTATTTAAGGAGATCTTCACCAAAAGAAAGTATTTTAAAGCTCTTGAGTTTCTGAGAGAAAGCAAAGAAACAAGCACTAAGTGTGTCAACTGTGCCTCAACACACTACTGAGTTGTCTTTCACGTAGCCCTCACAACAGCCCTGCCACGGGTGGTTGTTTTATTCTCTTTTTATAGATGAAGAAACTTATGCTCAGAGATGCTGGGGCATTCCCAGCTACACAGATGTGGGCCGAAAGGAGGAAGGTCTGAGTCCTAAGCAGAGATAGGCCTTCCACCTGTCAGTGTTTTCCCGGACAAGAATCACACGGTGGTAACTGTAGAAAATACAAAATCCAGGCTCACAGAGTCAGTCTTCAAAGGAAGGGGCCGGGGAACGTGTATTTTTAAAATTTTTTTTTTTTAAACAACCGTGCTCCCTCCACCCTCTTCATCAATAGGAAAGCTTGGAAAAGGTAGTACTATACAAATCAGCCAGGAGATCTGAACCTGTTCCATCCCTACCTCTGTGGTTTCTCTACCTAGAGACCCCTAAAAAGCCTTAAACCACCCCCCCACATTTCTCCGGTCAAGCCATCACCTCTCCTAAGGCCCCCAGAAATTCAGATTATGGAATCTTCTGCCCCTTCACCTCTGAATCTTGCCATTTGTTTTTTTTTTACTCTCCTGTACAATTTCATTTCCTGGCTGGGACCAGAACTCGCAACCGGCCTCCAGCCTGTCTGGCTCCTTCCCCTAGCCCCTCGGCTTGGGCTGCTCTCATCCCACGTTTCCTCCGCTTGCAAGGACCTCTAGCCTCTCCCGGCCCTTCCCAAAGCTCGGGAAACTCCTACACAGCTTGAGCACCTCTGTTCCAGTCACCCTCGCCTCCCACCGTCCTGGCTCCGGGACTGAACCGGGCCTCGCAGCCTTGCAGAGAGCGTCCGTCCTCCCTGCCGCAGCCCCTGCCCCCTCCCCGCTCGCCTCGCTCCCCGCCACCTGGCTTCGCGGCGGCCGCTCGGGAAGCCCTCGGCACTTCCCAGAATAGAGAGCAGCTGCCAGCGTCAGGCTGCCGCCCGCCGCGGGGTTCCGGGCGCACCGGGAGCAGGCGGAGGGGATGTGACTCTGCTCTGGCCTCTCGTCTCCCCACACGGGTCGGAGCAACTTCCCCGGGGTGCACAGTCCGTGAGGGTCCCCAAGCGTCCCGACTCCAGTCCGCGATCCCTCGACCACACGCGCTGCCCGGTCGCCCCGGAGAGCAGGGCGCGGAGAGGGTCTCGGAGCGAGCGCTCCGCACGGGAACGCGCCGAGCGCCAGACTCGCCTAACTCGCCGCGAGAAAGTTGTTGTCTCCCAGCCTGCCCTCGCGTCTCACCTCCGAGACACACCTCCCCGCGCGCCCTGGCCGCCGCGCGCTCACATCCGGTCCACCTTGCGCACACCCCCTTTCCACGCTCTCCCGCGGCCCCTCTCCCTCCCACGCCTGCGGCTCCCCGCCGCTCCCCCGCGCCCCCTCGCGCACTGCCGCCCGCGCCCGGGGTGCGCCTTCTCCGCCCTGCAGCTCGCCTGGCCTCTCTGCGCCTCGCCGGCCCCGGGTTCTGGCGCCCGGGAGCCGCGGCCCCGGGCCGCGACTCGCTTCCGCCCGCTGAGCGCCGGGCAGGAGCCCAGAGAGGCGCGCGGAGCGCTCGGAGCGCTGGGGGCGCGAGGCGAGGGGCGCAGCGGGGCGGGGCGGGGAGGGGGCGCTCGCTCGCTCGCTCACTCTCGGCTGCGCACACGCCCGTACAAACTCTCACACAGACACACGCGGGGTGCGCTGCCGCCGCCCGCCGCTGCTCCTCCTCCCGCCACCGCCTTGAGAGGGAGAGGGAGAGCGAGAGAGAGGCAGAGAGAGCGCTTTGTCCGCGCGCCGCCGCCCGGCCCGGGACTCTGCCCCGAGGAGGCAGCCGCGCTGAGTCCCCGCCTCCGCCTCTGCCTCTGCCCCCGGGCGGGCCGGGCGGCCGCGGTGGGGGGAGCCAGGCTGAGGGGGGGAGGAGGAGGAGGAGGAGGAGGCGAGACGAGGGCAGCGGAGGAGGCGAGGAGCGCCGGGTACCGGGCCGGGGGAGCCGCGGGCTCTCGGGGAAGAGACGGATGATGAACAAGCTTTACATCGGGAACCTGAGCCCCGCCGTCACTGCCGACGACCTCCGGCAGCTCTTCGGGGACAGGAAGCTGCCCCTGGCGGGACAGGTCCTGCTCAAGTCCGGCTACGCCTTCGTGGACTACCCCGACCAGAACTGGGCCATCCGCGCCATCGAGACCCTCTCGGGTGAGCACTCGATGCTGTCCCCCTCCCCCCGCCTCTCGCAGCTCCGGCCGGGACGGCGCCGGGAGGGAGGCCGAGCCCGGCGGGCGGCGCCCGGCGGGGGCTCACGCGCCCGCACGCTCACTTCCAAGCACCAGACCCTCAACTCTGATGGCCAGCCCGCTCCTGGGACGGCGCGCTCCCCTCCCCCCATGCCTCCGACTCACCCCTTGCCCTCCGAGCCGCAGCCCTGGGACCCCTGTGCCGCCCCGAGGGTCCCCGAGGCTAGCTCGTTTTCTGGGAGCACCCTCGTTCCCCTGACTCCCGGAGATGGTCTCTAGAGTTCCCCACCCCCATCGTTAGAGAGCCCCCGTTCCCCCTCTTCCCTGACCTTCCTGTCACCCCCTTTGTCCGGGACCCCTCAAATCTTGCATCTCCTCGCTTGACCGGACCTTACCCCTTCGCGTGCCTCGTGCCCAGGACCTCTCGCCCTCTGGCGTCCCCAGAGCCGCACTCTCCTTTCGAGCCCCCTCCCCAGCTAGCCCCGCGGCCCCCCACTTTCTGCACCCCCTTGGCGCCACCCTGATGACCCCCCTCCGAGGTTTCGAGGCTCCCCCAACCCATGCACGACGGCACATCTCTCTCGGTCCTCTCCCGAACCTCAGTCCCCTCTCGCTCGTCTCTCAAGCGCTCCTATTTTTCTCTGAATTTTTTGTCCGATTTTATTAAGAAGAACTCGGGGCTGGGGGCTTTCCGCCGCCTGTCCCCCCGCCTCCCGCTCGGCCAGAAGCACCTTTTTACGAGGTGCCCTGTCTCAACTCGGTGGGGGCCCGGGCTGAGAACCGGGAAAGAGGAGACCGGGGGGCCCGCGAGCGCTCTGGAGCCCTCCAGACGGGAGACGGAGAGCGACACACACACTCGCGCGCGCGCGCACTCACCAACTCTCCCTCTCGCACACGCACCGCGGGGAGCTGCGCTCGCCCCCAGACCATGAGCCTGTGCCCCCCGAACCCGGGCCGGGCCGGAGCCCCTTCCCCACTAGCGCGCGGGGTGGGGGCGGGGCGGCGGCGAGGCCAAGGTGACACCCAGAAGCCGGTAGGGACTGGGCTCTCGCAGCAGCGGACCCCAAAGGGCTTCTGCGCGTCTTCTGGGGGGGCCACGAGAAGGAGAGGGCGGGGAGGGGAGCGCAGTGGAGTCTTCGGGACCCGGTTAGCGGAATGGAGAAGTGGGGGCCGAGAGAAGCGGGGCCGCGCCAGCCCTGCAGCTTGAGTTTCAAATGAGCTCATCCTTTCAAATTGGCGCCGCTCTTTATTAAATTTGTTTTTCCGGTAATGCCACCCACAGCTATACCTGGGGTCGGATCCGGGCTCGCACCCTTCCCACCTCGTCCCGAGACTCGGGGCGCCCATCTTTTTTCCCACTGGGAACCAAGTTTGCCCAGCTGGAGCCGGGTAGGAGACCCCTTGAGGGCGCCCGAAGGCGGAGCCAGAGCGTAGAGTTCTGTACGTGCCCCTCCTAGACCCCCGGCGGTTTCCTACAAGGAAGGTTCTGAGTGCTTTAATTTCTGTTTTAAAGGTAAAGTGGAATTGCATGGGAAAATCATGGAAGTTGATTACTCAGTCTCTAAAAAGCTCAGGTAAATATATTTTGCTTAGTTATATTGTGGTCGGGCTTACGTATAAGTAAAAACATACACTCAGTTTTTAAAAATGTGCGTTTGTCGTTTTAAAAAAGGCTTTTGTTTGTTTTGTTAGGGGAGATAACATAGTTTAGAAAGTTACAGTTTTTACTTTCATTATATAAGGTGTTTACTGGTCTTGGAAAATATCTGGTGCCTTATTGGGGATAAGGGGTGTCGAACATTAGCTATGTTAAATTCGCAGGGACTATTCAACTTGTTTATCAAAACTTGCCTCCCACCCCTACCCCCAGCAAAATGGCAACAAATTTTTGTCAAGACTTCCTGTGAGATGTTAAGAGTAAATATTTACTGTCAGCCAAATTGCTTAACTAAACCTCGCGATTAATTAGTTTTCTTTTTTAAATAGCTTAATGTTGAATAATACAATAATTCAGTAATAGGTCAATATTTTGCATAGCACTCTAAAAGCTGGGTTGTGTGGATAGGATACCAGTGAAAAGCCAGACTTTTGTAGTCACTGTGACTACTGATTTATTGCTTCTGAGAGTTTTGTTGTTGTTGCTGTTTTTAAGATATGTTTGAGGCTAAACAGATACCACTCTGAAATCTATAGTTATATTTAAGTGCATTGTTGTTAAGGAAGGAGTAAAAAGGTTTGTGGAGGTTGGATTTCTCCAGTGCTTTACTTACATGAGAAATATCTGTATGAGGAGAGAATGAAAGAGAACATCCTTGTTTAAAGTTTATTGTGGACTTTAAATTTGGGCCCTTTATTACTCATTCTAGATTTTTTTTCTCCTGTGTGTCGTAACTTAGTTTATATCCTATTCACATACATTTCTTCACCATTAGTCATTAAGTAGCTGAATTGGAGAGACTCTAAGTGAAGTCTTTGATTTACCACCTTTACAATCTGATACTCAATAGTGTAACCACTTGATTTTTGCCAAGATTGAAAAGATTTTAAAACAAACTATCCTAATTTTATAAATACTTACATATTTTTTTTAAAGTGGTTTTTAAAAATTGTGTGCACATTTGCAGATATATTTTATTTTTAAGTAAGCAGCAGGATAGCTTTTGTTTGCAAATGATTCTGTGGCGTTATCAGGAAACTAATACTTAAAAAAAAAGAGGTAAAAGTTATGATTTGCAGTTGCATGTGTAATATTAAGCCAGTTCTCTCTAATTGAAAAGATGTAATGTGTAACCGATTGGTTTTTCAATTAAGTATTCTAAATGTGTATACTTTTCATTAAAATTATTTTTTGCTTGAGACACCCAAGTTGTAGCTTCCTGATATATTAAGTATTTATTGTAAGTTTAAACTACTCATCTTACAACACTTGAAAATTTGAATATATTGAACAGGGTTTGAAAGAACCACCCAAAATATTTGATGGGCTATGTTTCTATGAATGCCTAATTCTGTTGGCTATATAGCTGTTTTGAGTCCTTTTAAGGGTTATAGTTAGTAAATATCACTACTTTTTAAAATTTGATGGGTTGATATCTCATTTCAAGTTGCAAAGTAATTATTTAATGTTGCAAAATAAGTGGAATACTAGTTTATCTAAAGTTATTAACATCGCCTGAAATGTCTCACAAACTTACTACTTTTTGACTTTTTTGTTTCAAAATGCAGAAGTAATTGCTGTTAGCTGGATTGCCATTGAAATAATTTTATGGTGTTTATACAAGAGTTCAGAATTAAAAATATTTCCCAAATTTTTAGTATTAATTAAATAAAGAGCAATTTAGGACTTAAAAAGTCCTATTAGCACAGGATTTCTTTGAACATGTGGGTGATATGAAATACCTAGGAGATAGATTAAACTGCGCTGTGTGATTCACTACACTGAAGACGTCTGACATACCAAATGTATGCATAAGCTGCTGCTGTAGGGAGTTACATCATTTCTGATTGGGTGGTTTTAATGTTTTTTTCCCCTTTCCTTTATTAGTTTAAAACTGTAGAAATTAGTTACTTGTACTGCAGGCTAGGGGGGAGACAGCACTGAGCTGACTCTTGGGATGAAGCAGCTAGCTGGCTGTGTCTCGTGTATAGGGCATTACCACGGTGGTGGCTTTTAAAAAGCAGGGTACTGGGACATTTGAAACCAAAGCTTTTATGTTATATGGTGACTGTTTTGGTGTTCTTTTGTTGCATTTCCATGAAAATTAACAAGTTAGGGGTAAATTTGTCCGCATTAAGTCAGTTCTGTATGTGGTGTTTTGTGTTAGCTGAAGTGAAAATGTGAAGAAAACAATTCATAGTCATTGCTTGCTTGCTTAAAAAAAAAAATCATTCAACAATTGAGTGCTCATTTTCTTTATATTGTTCTGATTTCTTTCTGTTCTCCAGAACCAGTTTTAATGTCTACATTCCAATAGATTTTTTTTTTAAAGCTAATGATACTTTGGGAGGAGATGTTTTTAAGTTATGAAATTATTGGCGTGCCATTTGCTTACCAATTGGATCTTTTGTTAGATATCATTCTAGCATCATTTTATATGTACTATTATAGTAGACAGACTAGATACCATTATTTTCTCAGGTCGCTCAGGTAGAAATTTTTTTTTCTTTTTGCCACGTGTTTAATTCTTATTAACTACAAGTTATTGTAATGTAAACCATGTACAAGCCATCTAGTTCTCTTACTTCTTAAGTTGGTTGCAGGCTCTGTTGAATAAAAATCTTTGGATTTTTTTTTCTCTATTCATATTTCTTGTTAGTATATATGAATCAAAGATTTCTTAAAGAGGTAAAAACTGGTAAGAGCTTTCAAGTTCTGTTGAGAATTGTGAACATTTCCTTGATAGAAATTTCATTTTTGATGTTGATGAGAGTTGAGGTTCTCACACACACACACACACACACACACACACACACACACACACTCACACACTCTTTATCTACATACATGCACACACATACACTGCAGCTAATACATAGGCTAACCTTAATGTGCTTTGTAACTAAAGTTGAATGATTCTGTGAGAAACAAAACTTTGAAAAATGCAGTTTCTGCCCACTTCTAGGAAGTAACTAAGTGGTGCTAGACATGCTTTTACTGAGATGGTGTGAATACTATGAGGTAGTGTAGGAAAAAGCTATGAATTTGTCTTTCATGACTTAAAAATCAGTAATTGTGTTCTCTCCAATGCAAATGAATTTGGTCTCCTATAGGAATGTTAAAGAAAACAGTATCTCAATTGTGTTTTGCTTGTATGTACTACATTGTGTATAGTTGAATTAAATACCAAAAAAAAAAAAACCCCAACCTCAAGCCCTTCGTGCAACAAAGGCTTTTGCTGCATCAATTTTTAATTTTGTAGTGACAGAAAATACTTTATTAGGTTAAAATCATACGGTAGCCTCCTATATCAAGAATTTGTTGAATTAGAAATTAATATCTCGATTTAATTATATAGATTTCATGTGTGGATATAACATGTTAATATAAAATTTATATCAGACTATCACGTTACTTTTGATTTGGCTTTGAGTGGGACATTTAGTTTCCCATTTTTAAAAAAACTAATAAATTTTTCATATGGTTCTAGGTAATATCAGAGAATTACATACTTTTATGACCTTTAAGAGATTAGAATGAAAATAAAAGCAGTAAAGAAAAAAAAGTGCTTGATAATTCAGATGACAACATAGATTTAAAATTCTACTTTGTTTTTAAAAGACTGATCAGTTGATATTTTTACACTATATATTAATATAAATCATCGAAATCTACAAATCAAAATGGATTTTATATACTGCTTCATTTTCCAATTCTCCAAATTCATATCAATTTTAAATTGTAGCAATTTATAGAAGTATTAAATGGCTAAACACTCAAACATTAATTCTGAAAGGTGATTTGATGGGGTGTAATACTTTTACCAAATTGTGTTTTTTAAAATAGTGATGTTTCCTTGTAATTATGACTGGGTATAAGTTGACCAGTAAGGGAGGATGGTCTCAGTTTTGCTTTTTATTATGTTAACCTGAGGTTATTATTTATATAGAGAGAATGAGAGAAGATTAGTAATATTTGTACAATTGCTTTTATATGCAATGATCTAAAGTACAATACATTTTCCAAGAAGTTTTTTTAAAAGGACATTAGATTTATAACTAATTGCATATCAAATTAACATTTCACTGTTATTTTGAGTAAATGTTTTTATTTTATGGAGGTTGCTCCAATTTTTAAACCAGAGGATATAAATGATGAAATGTGCATAAAAGGATAGTAACTTGGGCACATTTACATAAACTCAAAAAAGCTATGAAAATCAGATTTCTATGTGAACTATTTATACATATTTGATACTTTTCAACTTTATAATTATTTGCTGTCTACTGTTGAATCACTCTTCCAAGTCTGCTGATGAAATCTTCAAAAGTACATGAGCAATTGGTCAGAGTTGTTAGAAGATATTGTTTGAGCTAAGTGTGTCATCTCTGATTCAGTGGGGTGTGTGTGCTTGGGTGTATGTGTACTTGTGTATTTTGTGGGTGACATTAGTTTCAGACAGATGCTGTTAAAAGGGAAGAGGAGGAAATCTTTAATTGAGCAATAATTGCTCTGGATTTCAGTCCTGAAAAGGCAAACAAAAATCACTAGGCATTTGAACCTTGTGGCAGAGGGAATCAGATGCAATGATATTTGCCTTGAGTGATGTATAACTCTTGTTGGAGGTTAACCTTGTAGAAGCCAGGGCACAGGCACCTGTAGTGGCTTCTTTAGTGAACATGCTGCTGGAAGGACCATCCAATGCAAAATCTACTCTCCTTCATTTTTGCTTGGCTAGCACCTCTCACTAATACAGTTAGCCAAGTGACTCTGTGAAGGTTTTAATGCTCTGTAAGCCATTTTTTAAGTGTTAGAAAATTCAAAATTTGGATATACATTTTCATTTAGAAATTCTATATTGTGGAAGGCAGTACATTATTTTGGAAAACAAAAGTACCCTGAGGAAATCAGTTTCAT